AAAAAAAAAAAAAAAAAAAAAAAAAAAAAAAAAAAAACTAAAACTTAAAAAAAAAAAAACAATAATAAAGCAGGGCATCGTGGCACGTGCTTTTAATCCCAGCACTCAGGAGGCAGAGGCAGGCAGATCTCTGTGAGTTCAAGGCCAGCCTGGGCTACAGAGCGAGTTCCAGGACAACCAGCACTGTTTCACAGAGAAACCCTGCCTCAAAAAAAGAAAAAGAAAAAAAAAAAAAAACAGCTAGATACTAGCCACACAAACCTAGTGTGAAAACAGGAATTACATTTTAAGCTATTTATGTCTGTATATTTGGTCTGCTGTCACTACCTTGCCAATCACAGACTTAAAAGTTTCCTTCTCACCCACTTCTCCAGGCAAACACGGTGCCTACCTAGCTTTTAGAGGCAACTAAGCTCCACGACTTAGGTTTTCTTGGGATAGGAATCCTGCCCCCGGGCGCCCCGCCCGGCCCCATCCCACCCAGAAGAGACAGGAAACTGACCCTCAAGATTTGGTTACTTTAGGTGGAAAACCTGACCAGCAGGCTTATCTGTGAGCCTGAGGTCTCTGGAGGGGAAGCAGGGAGCCTTCGAAGGGACCCAAACTCTCACCATCTCCATCCCTCCAGGGAATGACGTCTTCCTGGTAGCTGTGCATGAGCTGGGCCACGCTCTCGGCCTGGAGCACTCTAACGACCCCTCTGCCATCATGGCGCCCTTTTACCAGTGGATGGACACAGAGAACTTTGTTCTGCCTGACGATGACCGCCGCGGCATCCAGCAACTTTATGGCAAGTTATCCATCCGCTTACCTGCTCCTCTGCCTCTGCTCTTGTCCGTTTTCAGTCTCTGGTCTGCATTTTCCCCGCGGCGTATCGCCGCGGTGTTCTGTGAAGTCTATATGTACATACGCACCACTTTCACCGCCTCTCTTAGCTCCGACTCTTCTTTTAAGTTTGGGTTTTTTTTTTTTCGTATAAGTATATTGCAAATATATATGTATGCATGTACCACGTCTATGTATATGCCTGGTGCCCATAGAGGCCAGCAGAGGGCATTGGATCTCCTGAAACTGCCGGGTGAGTGGTGGCAACGAAACTTGGGTCCTCGGTAGGAACTGCAAGTGCTCCCAATCAGTCAGCCGCGTCTCCAGCTCCGCAGCTCCCACTTTCGATACCTTTTGAGCATACCAAGCTAACCTCCAAAAACCTGTTCACACTAAAAAAAAAAAATTGTTTTTATTAGAGGTGTGTATGTGTCCACAGAGGCCAGAGGCATCCAATTTCCTAGAAGTGGGGTTCTAAAGGTTGTGAGCCCCCTGATAAATCAAACTCTCATCCTCTGCAAGAGCAGTATTGCTGTAACCACTGAGCTACCTCTGGGGCACCCCCACTCTCTTCGTGCTTTCTGAGGGTGCTGCTGTCTATCCTTCTGTCCTCTACCTCAAAATCTGAAGTACCCTATTGTTCTCTTCCTCAGGGAGTAAGTCAGGGTCACCCACCAAGATGCCCCCTCAACCCAGAACTACCTCTCGGCCCTCTGTCCCAGATAAGCCCAGAAACCCCAGCTATGGACCTAACATCTGTGATGGTAACTTTGATACCGTGGCCATGCTCCGAGGAGAGATGTTTGTCTTCAAGGTGAGAGGATAAAAGGAGGAGGAGGAAGAGAAGAAAGGGGGCCGAAGGACTCTCGGCAAGGACGCTGGGTGGCAATAGTAATAGGAGGAATGAAAGTTAGGAGCACAGGGCTGAAGGCAGTGGGGGCGCTTTGGGGGCTGCAGAAGAACAAGGCATAATGCGATCCCACCTTTACTGGTTTCTAGGAGCGATGGTTCTGGCGGGTGAGGAATAACCAAGTGATGGATGGATACCCAATGCCTATTGGCCAGTTCTGGAGGGGTCTGCCTGCATCCATCAATACTGCCTATGAGAGAAAGGATGGCAAATTTGTCTTCTTCAAAGGTAACCAGGCATTTCATGGACTGGGGAAGTTGGAGGGTCTCCGCGGGTGAGCTGATCCGCAAGTCCAGATTCCTCCTTTCTCTCCTGTCCCAGGGGATAAGCATTGGGTGTTTGATGAGGCTTCCCTGGAACCTGGGTACCCCAAGCACATTAAGGAGCTAGGCCGAGGACTGCCGACTGACAAGATTGACGCAGCTCTCTTCTGGATGCCCAATGGAAAGACCTACTTCTTCAGGGGAAATAAGTAAGATCTCCAACCCTTCACCCCAAGCCTCTCCACTGCCACCCCAAATATCCTAATCCCCACATTCTGAAGAAAGGCCCACTTCCCCCCCACCTCCAAGGTGTGTTGCCCTGGAACTGGCCGAGTCTTTATGTTGCCTAGCAATAGGCAATTTTTCTTAGTGCTGCATGCGTGGGATGTGACCGGGTCACCATTTCAGACCTGGTCATTTGATGCCTCCTGCCCCCAGCACTGTGTCTCCACCCCAGCCACCAGGCACTGTCATTAAGGGCCGCTGGTGGCTCCTTACAGCCTGGACCCTCCCTTCCACCTCCTCCTTCCGCCTCTTTCAGCTGCAGGCCCTCATTACTCAAAACCCCTGTCCCCAACCATGTCCATGGCTACCCTTTGTTCCCCGGTGCACTCTGTCATGGGTCTGCTAACCTCTGAGGGCATGCCCGATATCCAGCCGCCTCGGTTTCTCTCCCCTCCCCCAGGTACTACCGTTTCAGTGAGGAGTTCAGAGCAGTGGACAGCGAGTACCCTAAAAACATCAAAGTCTGGGAAGGAATCCCTGAGTCTCCCAGAGGGTCATTCATGGGTAGCGATGAAGGTGAGTGGGCAAGGGAAACTGTGTAGGGAAGGAAGGGCACGGGGAGCTGAGGAAGAGCAGAAAGACAGAGTGTCTAGTGGAAAACATGGATGGTGATTGCATATGTAATACCACCCTCGGTCTGGCCACTTTTCCAACCTGGTGCTGTAATCAACTCGTTCTCCACTTGAGGAAGCTAACGTTGAGGAAGATTGAGAGGTAAGCTTAGCTGCCCATCACACTAACCGTGCTTTTTTCTTTTCTCTCTTTGGGGCCTTTATGGACTCTGCCCATCCTGGTTCTTGTCATCTTACACCATCCTCTTGGTGCCCTTCAGTCTTCACCTACTTCTACAAGGGGAACAAATACTGGAAATTTAACAACCAGAAGCTGAAAGTAGAGCCAGGGTACCCCAAGTCAGCTCTGCGGGACTGGATGGGCTGCCCTTCGGGAGGCCGCCCGGATGACGGGACTGAGGACAAGACAGAGGTGATCATCATCGAGGTGGACGACGAGGGCAGCGGAGCAGTGAGCGCAGCCGCCGTAGTCCTACCTGTGCTGCTGCTGCTCCTGGTGCTGGCAGTAAGCCTTGCAGTCTTCTTCTTCAGACGCCATGGGACCCCCAAGCGACTGCTTTACTGCCAGCGTTCACTGCTAGACAAGGTCTGACCCCCACCGCTGGCCCACCCGCTTCTACCACAAGAACTTTGCCCCTGAAGGCCAGTGGCAGCAGGTGGTGGCAGGTGGGCTGCTCACACCCATCCTGAGCCCTCTCTCCCTCCGGCCTCCCTTCTCAGTCCCTAATTGGCCTCTCCTACCCTCACCCAGCATTGCTTCAGCCATAGGTGGGTCCCCTGAGGGCTGAGCAGGAAGGTGGTCCCTTCCCGCCTCTGGCCCTCAGGGGAAGCCTGCCGGCTTGGTGTGTGTCCAACCCTATTTGAATGTTTTCAGGGCAAGACCCTCTGACCTCATGGGCAAAGGCCAAATGAGGTCACCCGCTTCTTTTCCATCCCCTAACTGCATACCTTAAATCTCTGAACTCTGACCTCAGGAGGCTCTGGGCATCTGAGCCCTCTAAGTGCCAAGTGTACCCAGTTGGCAGCCCTCCCACCACCGACTAAAAGGAACCTGAGAGTGTATGTTGGAGGTGGAAAGATTGCTCAGCTACTCTAAAGACTTTGGTTTTTAAAAAAAAAAAAATCGCTCAATGAAGGTCTTGGTGGCTTGAACAACCAAGTTTCTCTCCACAAAGATCTGCCTCTATCCAACCCAACCTGGAGAACGTCCAAGGAGCCTGAGCCATCTAGGACTAAATGGGTTTGAGGAAACTTTTGGCAAAACTGGCCCCTCCTGAATAGCCTTGGATATCCAGTTCAAGGTCAGAAGAGCTGAAAGCAGGGGGAACAAACGTGCCTGAGTACAGAGCGGTCAAGGGGAGACAGCGGGATCTGGAACATGGGGGAAAGGAGCCTATGGCTCAGAGTAGAAAAAGACCGGTTCAAATGCAAGTTGCTGGGGCTGGGACCCAAAGACAGCAGTCCGAGGGGACAGGAAATGAGGTGTGGTGGTAGCAGTGTATGCCTGGGAGTCTGGGCAGACTGCAGGGCACACGCATGACACTGTGGTACCCAGGAGCGTGCACATTGTATTGGGTCTCAGAGAGGGCTTTAAGGAAGCCACACTGGCCTCTTTTCGTCTCCTTGCTTACTGACTGTGGACAGGAAGGATAAGGGTGGCTACAGGAGTGAAGAGCCTATAGTACAGGGACTGGGGACTCCATAGAGACCAGACCAGGCTGGCAGTGGCCTAGCCTTGCTCAGTCTGTCTCACTGCACTAGTGAGGCAAATGTCTGGGTGCTCCTGGGTAGGGTGGGCCCCTCCCTCTCCTGATGCAGGCACTCCTCAGCCCATTTTACCTGTGTCCTGCCCTTCCAATTCCCCACCCAGCCAACCCATTTGAAAGTCTCCTTCAGCCACTGAAGGTGGTCAAGGTACTGGGGACTCAGGAGGGAGAGTGACACCCCGTGGAGGGGGTGAGAGGAAAGGAGTGTCTGGGTGGGGTTTGGGACTAGGGAAAACGGGGTGAACGGTGCTGGAAGCCCAGCTAAATTTTTGTCTTGTTTGGGTTTTTTGTTTTGTTTAATGTATATTTTTATTATAATTATTATATATGAGTGCCATTCAAATCGTTCCTTTTTGTTAACAAGGGGCATGGGGAGGGGTGGGGGAGGGGGGCAGAGGCAACTGACCTCAGAAACCTGCAGGGCGGGGCTGGGTCAGTGCCCTCTAAGGACATTTTTGACCTTGTTCAACCTTTCCACGAAGAATAAACTGTGTTTCACATTCTTTGTGTGACTATAGCTTGGTGTTAGGGGTGAACTGGATGTGGCCAAGCAGGAAGAGCAGGCATTGAGAAGAGTATTTCCCACGATGTAGGGGCTTAGTCTGTGTCATGAGTGGACTGGTGAGATTGAAGGGCTGAAGTTGGGAGCAAGGCATACCCCACTAGAGGTTAGAGGAGTGATCGGCAGAACCCAGCATCCTTCCCCCAGATCCTTAAAAGTCTACCATTGCGTGTCAAAGCTGCCAGAGACAGGAGGAAGTGGTCAAGCTGAGACTATTTGGAAAATCTTCCTAAATTGCATTATTCTGCCGTGTGACCTGGCCACAGACACTCGAGTTTCCCCGCAGCAAGGGTATTCCCATGATCACATTAGACTGAAGCTTAGTGACAGACCCGAGAAGGGTCTTTAAAATCCTGGCATAGCAATGCACACCTGTACTCTCAGCCCTTCTGGAGACAGAGGCAGGCATACTCCTGGGCCAGCCTAGTCTACATCAGTAAGTTCTAGGCCAGCTGGAGCTACACAGTAAGACCCTGCCTAAAAAAGAAAAAAAAAAGAGGAAAAGGTGGTGGTTCCTATAGGCCTGGGACTCTGATGTTGGATTAGCAAATCAGGAAGGTGGGGGGGAGGTGGCCCCATCTACTAGGCGTGTCCTACCTCTGGTAGCACAGTGTTTGTCAGCTGCCCAGGAGACCCAGGACCCTCAGGTTGCAAGGGTAGAATAACAAGGCTTTGTTCCACTTTCCATAGAAACTGCTGCCCTAGACAGGGTTCCCAGGCTGCTGACCCTCCCTTCCTCCGAAACCAGCCTGAAGGGAGGGGTCAGCTCAGTTGCTGAGTCAGCTCAGCTGGAGGAGAGCAGCCCTGTTCTCCCGCCTTCCCTTCCTGCCTCAGCCCAGGCTTCACTGGGCTTCTGCCCAGGTCCTCCACAGCCTGCTTTTCAGAGCCTGGCCCCACCTATGCCACCCCTCTAGCCAACTGTTCTGCAGGGCGGCTGGCATGATTACTTTGGCAGATGGGGTACCCAACCTTCCTGCCAGCCAGCAACCCTGACCCCAGGCATGGTCACCTGTGCCTCCCCTGCCAACAGCTGTTTGGCAGGGCCTTTGTGTCTCGGTGAAGTTAGGCACAACCCCCAACACCACCGTCACCATAAGGGATTGGAACTGAGAAGGTGGCCCTAGGGGAGATCGGGGGCATCTAGGGGTAGTCAAGTCCGTGCATGTGACAAAAAGCTCAGAAGATGAGCTCATGGCCCTTTGTGTTTTTGTGGTCCACATATGGAGGCAATTACAGATGTTGTCCAGAGGGAATTCTGCAAAACACAGCTGGAGCCAGTGGAAGAGCCCAGGAGGGGGGACTGCCAGAGGGAAGAGGAGGGGAGCCCAGGGCTGGAGTGCGGTTTCCCCATCACGAGGAAATTGTTTGGCTAGGATTCTGGAATCACAAGATGCTCTCTGAAGCCAAGGGGAAGAAATGGGAATGCAGAACTGGAGACAAAGGGGGATGAGCTGGAAGATTGCTTCTGCACAGATGGGACTGTGGGGCGGAGGCAGAAGGGTCTGGTGCTGATGATACACTTGGACCTGCCCGCTGGACCCCGTGAGATTGCCCAGCGACCTTGGGAGGTGCTTTAGTGGTCATGAGGCCCCACTTGAGTGAGCCACCATGTCAGGAGGCCGAGGGCCCTCTGGCTCCCAAGGACCTGCAAAAACTGCACTGGCCTGGCCGATTTCTCTGCTGGGCCTGACCCAGTTTCTATGGTTCCAAGTTCCTTTATTCGAAAGCAGCACTTGTGAGCCGGGGCAGCCAGAGGGAGCCAAGTGAAATATGTGAGGAGGCCTGGGCGGCGCTGGGGACACTGGTCTAAAAGGATACTAGAGTGGGAACAAAGGGCAAGAGGGAGCAGCGATTTGTCCACCAACACACCCCACAACCAGAGGTGGGGGCTTCTCTTTCCATCGCTCCCCTTTTCCAGGGATCCAAAGCCTCCCGGACTGCCAGCCAGCCAGGTAGACAAGATCAGGGAAGACCTTGGAGGAGCCACACCCTCCAAAAGAGAGTATGGGCAGAGGGGCATTGCTCCCCTCTAGAATCTGGTTAGCCTGCTGGTCCTTCCCTGCCTCTCTCCCAGTGCCTTCCCCCCACAGTCTCATAGACTTCCCAGCATCTTTCCCCTCCGCATCCTCCTTACCCTCCCCGCAGGCTGGAGAACACCAACTGCTGAGGCCTTCACTATAGAGACCCAGACAGAGGAACTGAGCCCTGCAGGTCACAGTTCTTTAGTCCAAATTTAAGGCCCATATCAGGGACTAGGGCTGGACTCAGTGGTAGAACATTTGCCTAACACGAGCAGTACTGAGTTTGGTCCTCGGTACTGCCAAACGAAACTGCCAAAACTCAAACCTCACTGGGCTGTTTGTCTATGCGAGCATATTCTGACTAGGTTTCTTGAGCATCTCTTCCAGCATGGACCCAGCAGCTGGGTAACGTCACGGGAATGTGTTCTGGGGAACTGTCAGTGTGTCTGTGCTTGCTTGTTGTGCCACGCAGCAGTGGAGTGGAGGCAACCAGCATGGGGAAGAGGGAGATGGGAGGAGCTCCTCCAGACAGGAAGCCCATTTGCAGCCGACCGCTTTGCTGCTCAGGGGCAGGAGCTGGTGTTCTGAAGGGAGGAAGGTACTGCAAAGACTCAGACACTAGAGAGAGGCTGCCAGCTCTGCAAAGAACGCCACAGACTTCAGAGGGATAACTGCCACTCCCAGGAACCTCTAGAAAGCTTCAGCCTTAGCTCAGGCTATTGTCCTACCATCCCTGTACACACTTTGGACCCAACTCCAATCTAAATTCATCTCCTTTAGGAGACCTAGTCCTACCCCTAGGACTTCCTGCTTTCTTTCCCCCTCAGTCTTGGGGAGTTGGGGAGATCCAGTGGCAGCCTGCATTGGGGCTAAACAGCTAGAGCCTGGAAGGCAGGCAGGCCTGACTGGACAGAAACCAGCTTCCCAGTGAGCTCACACACATACTTTCCACGCTGGCCCAGCGCCAGTGGCTTAGCTCCTTCCAAGCCTGCCTTCCCCAGCCAGGCTCAGCCCCCTCCATCGTTGCCACTAGTCCTGGGGCTCCACAGCAGGACCATTAGATACTTCAGACCAGTGGGGCAGCTCACTCTGCATCCGTGATGAGGCCAGGTCCCCTACAAACTACCTATCCTCAGTCAGTGAGACCTTCACAGCTTAAAAGAGATCGGCTGCGTCTAGCTCACAAAGACCCACTTCTAGATAGGGATGAACCCCAATAGGTAGAGGTCTTGCCTTGCCTGAGTTGGATTCTGGTACCACATAAAATAAGGTATATTGGCATATATCCACAACCCTAGCATTCTGGAGATGGAAGGAGGAATATCAGAAGTTCCGGCTTGGGTTACATGAGACACTGTCTAAAAACAGTGACCTATACCTGGGTAGAAAATGGCAGTAGAGGCCAGGCAGTGGTGGCACATGCCTTTAATCTCTGAGAGGCATTGGCAGGTAGGCGATTGTGAGTTCAAGGTCAGCCTGGCCTACAGAGAAAGTTCCAGGACAGGCTTCAAAGATACACAGAGAAATCCTGTCTCGAAAGGAAAGAAAGAAAAAAGGAAAGAAAGAAAGAAAGAAAGAAAGAAAGAGAAAGAAGAAAAAAGAAAGAAGAAAATGAGTGTAGACCATGCAGACAGAAGAGACGGCACTGTGGATGTCGGAAGGGCATCCTCTGAGTGCCTGAAGTAGCTCACTGACTCAGGGACCAGATGGGCCTCAGTATGGGTCATATCCTGCTACTCACTGGATTTCCCATCTTGGCACTTCCCTAACTCCGGGAAGGATGGGGTCTAGTGCGGAAAGGCCAGGCTGCCCACAAAAGGCGGGGGGGGGGGGTACAACAACTGGCTCCTTGCAAGTTAGAGAAAAAGGCAATATGTCTAGTGTATCACACCAGAAAATAGACCCAATAGCTAACTTTTTTTTTATGAGCAACGGTGTGAAGGTGTCAGATTGCCCAGGGACTGGATTTACACACCCTTATGACTGCATGTGGGTGCTGGGAATTGAACCCCGGTCCTCTGGAAGAGCAGTCAGTGCTCATAACTGCCAAGCCATCTCTCCAGCCTGAGCCAATATCTTTAAAGGGCCCCTGTGTGTTTCCCAAATTTCCTCCATAGAGGTACTAAGTCCTTGAGTGTTGTGATGTTTCCTTGCCTTTCTTTATTTTTAATATTTATTTTTTATTTTATGTATATGAATATTTTGCCTGCATGTAAAGATTATCACATGTGGGTCTGATTCCCACAGAGGCCAGAGGAGGGCATGGGAGCTCCCGGAACGGAACTGGAGTTACAGGCAGTTGTGAGCCTCTGTGTGGGTTCTGGGAGCTGAACTCAGGTCCTCTGTGAGAACAACCAGTAACCATAACCACTGAGCCATCTCTCCAATTCTGATCTTTCCTGGTTGTCTCAATGGCTCCCCATTGTTTGTCTTGCTCATTCCCTGATGTTTTTGAGCTTTGCTCATGATGGTACATGTAGCCACACCTCACTTAATGACTGTATCCGATCCCCTTGTACAAGGATCTCAGTCATAGCTTCATATTTTCACTGGGATGTCGATTCACCAGGTTTGATCACCTTAGTGGGGTGGAGCAATAGCTCGGTCATTTTAGTTTGTATTTCTGTAAATCCTAACGAGGTTAAGCATCTTTTTTGCTCATTCATTCTTTGTTTTGTTCTATTGAGATAGGTTTCTCACTATGAAACCTAAGCTGCCCAAGAACTCCTGATCCTCTTGCCTCAGCCTTCTAAATGCTGGGACTACAGGCCTGACTGCTGCGTGTGTGCGCGCACACACACACACAAGCATAATGGGGGTAGGCATGTATACACAGCATACAAGTGGAGATGACTCTCTCCTTCCACCTTTGCATGAGTTCTGGAGATCAAACTCAAGACGCCAGGCTTGCAGAGCAAA